GTGGTCACCCAGCACGGTCCTGGGGAGCAGGCGCCGGAGCACACAGGCCATGGAGCCAGCTAAGCAGGGCTTAGGGGGGCAGCAAACATGTCCTCGGACATTATCACCCAATGCTCCCACCTCCTTTCCCAAAGGAGAACCCTTCCTAACTGATCTTCATATTTAAACCGTCGGCTTGTTGGAAACCCAGCTCATCCTTCGCATCTTTCCTCTCTACCTGTTGTTGGTCTCTGCCATCAAGGTGGGACCTACTCACAGCTGAGCCTCAAACAGGTATTCAGAGACTTTAAATAACCTGTGAAGAGATGCTTGTGTTTCTCCTCAGTGGATTTGAACTGCTGACTTCTGGGTTGGCAGTGCAACGCCCTACCACTCCCTAGAGCTCCATAGGGAGGTAATAAAATAAATCAGACAAATGAAATGGTCACCCTTTACTGAAACTAGGGAAATCTGTCAAAGACCTCTTTAAAGTGCTAACAAGCCAAAGTAATAAGCAAAGACTAAGGTGGGCCGGACCCAAGAGTGACCAAAGAGTGGGGGTGCCTCTCAAGTGTGGTGCTGGCTGAGAGCACCCCGAGTATCCTAGGGCCTGGCAAAAGGACGGACAAATCTGTCCAGGAAAAAGTACAACCGGGGAGTTCTTTCAGGCAAGGGTGGTGAGACACATTAACAAGGAGGCGTCACGTTGGGAAAGGCAGGAGCTCAGGAAAAGAGAGGAAGACCCTCAACGAGACGTCACGGGCTGTGCTGATGGTCCAAGTCAGAACTGGCTCACAGCTGACCATCCAACAGGTTTGCAGAAGCTGTAAATCACCCGGGGGGGGGGGGGGGGGGGAGCCTGCCAGTCTTTCTCCCGCAGAACAGCTGATGGATTGATTTGAACCGCACACCTTTGCATTGACAGCGCCACTAAGACACCAGAGCTCCCCCAGTCATTAACTGCTGGGTCCCCCCTGTGAGCTTTACTGGCTTCATTCCCACCACCAGTCTGCAAAGCTTTGGCATCAGTGTTGTACTGGTCACACAGGTGCTGCCTGGCCTCAGGTGGGGTCCTCAGAGCCACAACCCTCACTTGCCCTGTGACACCAGCCCCCCTTAGTGCAGGACCAGCAACTCCTGCTCTAGTTTCTAGGGTGACCCAAGGGCCATGGTTTCCATCACATAAAAAAAAGGAAAAGAAAGTAAGTGGAACTTCCAAGCGGAGCATCAGCAGAAAAAAGGATGTGGAAGAGGCCAAGAGGCTGTCCCCCCTTTCACCCTTTCACCTTGGAGCTCCCAGACTCAAGCTGCAGGTGCCGGTGACACCGGGTAAAAGGCTGTAACCCCCGGAGCTTAATGGGGTCACTCAAAAGAGTGTGAGTCCCCCAGGGTGCAGCTTCCCCACACCACAGGCGGCCGCTCAGCCCTGCAGGCACCGCTGATCCAGGTGAACGTGGTCAGGGACAACAGAGTGAAAAACTAGCACCCTCACCATCATGGACTGCAAGGGAAGGGACGTGTGCTCCAAACGCCCATAAACTTGACCCGCAGTGTATTAGAAAGATGCAGTTCTAGGCCCACAGGGGTGAGGTATGCACAATGGAACAACGCCTGAAAAATATTCACAGGATCTGAAGAATCAGCAGCCCCTGGGGCAACAAAAAGGTCAGAACTTCAACATCGCCTGTTTCCTCTCTTACCTAATCGACGCCACATGGCACCGGGGTGAGGGCAACCTATTGAGAGGGAAGGGTGAGTGTTCTGAGGTCCACCTGGGGGCTACAAAGCTCTCCTTTAATCCGAGACCAACGCTCTCCTTCTGACCTTTGCTAGTCTCCTTTCTGCCCTTCGTGCTTGGCTACACGTCCGAATCTCATGAGGGTTTTTCGTAAGAATCCTCAATGTGGGTTAGATCTCAAGATCAAGGAAACAAAAATCTTCCCCGCTAGACTATTCATAACATCCTGACAGATGCAGAAGACTAGAGGAGCAAATGCCTGCCTTTTACTTGGATCCATGATCGTTAACCATGGTAGCAATAGTCAAATCAAAGAACCATGTTGTAGGGAGCTCTGGTGGCCTAGTGGCAAGAAGCTGAACTGCAATCCCAGAGGTACGCGGTTAGAATCCACTAGATGCTCGGCTGGAGAAGGAGGGGCAATCTCCCCCTGTACCAGTCAGATCTGATTTGATGGTACACACACACACAAAATAAGTTTTTAAAGAAAAAACCAAACCCATGTTGTGGTGGAGAAACACATTGTCAAGGACCACTCTTTGGAGTTAAAGAGCATTTAAAGGCCAACGTGCCGGATCGGAGCCATGGAATTTTCAGTTATTTCTGATGCATCTGAAAATGGGACAATATATAAGGAAGACTGAAGAACTGATGCCTTTACAACGGCTGCACTGTGATGCTAGCCAAGTAGTAAAGACACCAAGAACTGCAGAACAAACAAATCTTTCTTGGAGGAAGTAAATCAGAATGTCCCTCAGAGGCAAACGGCCTCACATATTTGTGCTAGGAGCAGCCAGCCTTTGGACAAAGAAAAGAAGTGGGAAGAATGAGAGGAAGACCTCTGCGAGGTGGACTGTTATCACCAGGACCACAGCCATGGGCTGGAGGACGACAGAGACTGTGGGGATGGTCCACAGCAGGGCAAGGTCCAGAGCTGTGCAAACAGCCACTGTGGACCACAGGACACTCGGTGACAGTGAAGAGTAACAATAGAGAATTCCCAAGATCTGCCACAGACTGACTGACCTCACACCTGAGGGTGGAGGGTCAGGCATGCCTCCCCCCCTTTAAAATGGTATCCCTGTCACAGAATTCAATCCTTCTCTGTGCCAGGGATATGCTTATCCAAAGGTCATCTGACCACTTTTTTTCCCCTGGAGTCTTTGAAAGTTATCTGGTTAAAAAGTAAGCTCTGGTAGGGGAGCTCTGGTGGCCTAGTGGTAAGGAGCTGCAACTACAATTCCAGAGGTGCACGGTTCAAATCCACCAGATGCTCTGCCGGGGAAGGAGGAACAATCTCCTCCTGTACCAGTCAGATCTGATTTGACGGTACACTCACACAAAATAAAATAAAATAAAAGCTCTGGTAAGGGGTTGTACAGCCAATGCAAAGGCACAGAGTTCAAATCCACCAGCTGCTCGGTGGGAGAAAGATGGACAGTCTCCTCCCGTGTGTTTTTCCGTCTCTGAAAACTAGCTATGAGTCAGTTCAGAAGGTATCTCTAACAATAACAACAATAGTTGATCAAGACATTAGACCAGCAGTGAAACAGCCCTGGCTTGCTCCAGAGTGCTCAAGTTCCACCCCCCCCCCTTTTTTTTCTTTCTTCCAGAATCTCTTGTGCCAATGTCGTCACCTTTGGAACACTATACGACATTTCCCAACCTGACTTAGTCACTCACACTCAGGGTTAACAAAGTAAAAGCTCTTTCCTCAAATCGTTCCTCCTTTTTCTATTATTGCTGGTGTGAGGCCTCCCAAGGCTGGGTGGCTTCTCTTTGCATTTCGCTGGCTGGAGAGAGAGGAGGTGAAAGGAGTGGCCGGGGCTGGGGAAGTGGAGCTGGCCAAGGGAGGGCCTGCCTGCCTGCGAGTGGGGTGTGTCAGAGAGACAGCTGTCTTGGACGCAATCTTGGTAGATTAGAAC